TGGTATACGGCTTCGACCATATTGCTGAATATAAGGAGTTAACAATGAGGTTTGCTTTCTTTTTTGTTTTTCTTGTAATTCTTTATGTCTATGTAGAGCTATTGATTTGAGAAGAGTTCTTGCTCGTGTTCCAGAAGAAATGAGTGATCGTCATGCGTTTTTAGAAACTATTAAGGTTAGTTAAGCAAAATTTTGAAAAAAATGCAACCGTTCGTTGTGTGATTTTTTTTTAAAATGAATTCTCAGTGCATATGTTCTCGTGGGTTAACATCACGTGCCACGTAGTTTGAAATTCACGTATTGAACCGCAAACTTTACAGATCATTGCTTCATCGATCAAGAAGTTGCTTGAAGCGATTAACGCTGTGTACCATATAGTTCCTCCAAGTGCACAACAAGGTTTGCAGATAGTTTAACGCTCGTAGAATAATGCTTTTCAGCTGTTGAAAAAAGAAAACGGGAATTTGTTCATTATGCTAAGAGATTCAGTGACACCTTAAAAACATATTTTCGTGATCAAAACGCAACTCAGGTTTGTAATGTGATAGTGTGATTGCCGTATACTCATTCATTAAGGTTACTGTTTCCGCCAATCAACTTGTCTTTCAAACTTCTCTGATCGTCAGAACTATCAATGACAAGCTTCGAAGAGCTTAAGGCTGTCGTGCTTGGAATGAGAACTATATTAACTTAAATTATTTTTTCTTTATTAGTATTACATCCTATCATAACTTACGAACTAGCTTTAAGCTACTTAACTATTGTTGTATGTGCCGAGGCAAATGTTTTCTCTGTCGTGCCTTATATTGACATTCATTTTCCTTAGATGGAAATTCAGTTTTTGGAATTCCAATCCCTTTCCATATCTGACGCCGTGGTTCACCAAGTTCACTTTTAGCTACATATCATATTGAGATTATTGGGTTTGTTTAATAATATAGTTTGTATATACTGTCTTGTATGGTCTAGATGGTTTTTACCACCCTTACCTTTCATTCGTTCATACATAGTTTTGATAATCACATAGCATAGTTCATAATGGATGATGA